CTCTCCACGTTACAGTTCCTGACATTAATGTTACAAATTGTTCAAAATCTCCATCTCATACCAACTCTCCTTTTGATGCTTTAAGTGCCCCTTCTTCACCTCGATCACCTCAAGAAGGTCGAAATCGTCTCCATGATTTAGATGTATGTATATATTTACATATTATATATAAATAATAAAAACAACAACAATAACAATCAATTTCTTCTTTAAATAATAGCCAAGGACACACATTCATCTATCGTCTAGTAATAATAATAACGAGTCACCACACTTGAATGCTAATGTTGGATTAAATACTGGTAGATTTAGAGTGTCACTTGAAGATCCATGTTATAAAGTATTACCATCAGCTCTTAAAAAATATAAAGTACATGATGATTGGAGAAAATACGCTTTATTTATTTGTTTTGGAAGTCAAGGTAATGTAAATATATGAATAAATAATAAATAATATATTTATTCGCACACACATGTACACAGGGAAATATTTATATTTCATATCAAAAAAATTAACAGATAATCCGGTAGAACGTTGTCTAAGTTATGATGAGAAACCATTACTTTTATTTCAAAAATTAAAAGAAGCAAATCAAAATCCAGTTTTCATGTTAAAAAATATTAAAGAAATTAAATCGCCAGTTGCAACTGCTGAAGAAATACTTAATTCCTTGAAAGCTAATAAATCTAAAAGACGTACCACACAATTCCTAAATAAAGAGTTGCCTCCTCCCCCTCCACCAGCTGAAACTTATCCATTAAACACCAGCAAATGCTTCTCAAAATTGGGAAAATCTACTCTATGCAATGAAATTACATCACTGTGCTTGTACTATTCATATAGTTTTCAGAAAAGCACTCTCCTTAAAAAAAATTCTTCCATTTTTTGTAAAGATACTTACATGTTATTTTTAAATTGATATACACACTTTACAAAGTATAAATTTCAGCATGTAACCAACGCAGATTTCTACAAACCTGTAGAAAATTACTAATGTATGACACTGAATTTTATACACCGAGTATCATCCCCTATTTAAGAAGTTTAATTTCCTGAATTAGAAATGATATGTTTTTTGAATCGTGTAACCAGTACAAATTTCCAGAAATTCAAATTTTGATTGGACAATAATGTTACACCCGACAAACCCGACAATTGACTCGCTATAGTAATAGTAATAGTAATAGATAACTTTGCCCATATAATAAATAATATTAACAAAATAAATTAAAAAAATTCAGAATTAGAATCCAATGAATCAAATTTTTTAAATCATAAAGAGGTTATTATTAATTTATTATTAATT